AGAAATTAAAACTAATAGTGTGATGGGGAGTCACGATAATGCGATGGTGAGATGTTACTCTGCTGGGGGAGATTATGTAGGGATAGTCGACCTCCACTTCTCCCCTACTCTAAACTACCGTCTCAACTGGTGCGACACATCCTACACTAACTTCCCTGTTAATCCTCCCTCTCCTACTGACAAGGTTTGGCGCATCACTCTAACCAGAACTGCAGGTGTTAGAGTAGTGATTCACTGTAACGAGGTGGAGGTGCTCAACACCCTGTTCTCAGACACAACGTGTATAGACGGTAGTTGGAGCACGTACTGGAGTAGAGACGTAGCAAAGATAAAGTTAAGTTTGCGCGACGCGTCTGGTTACTACAGAGCACAACCAGGTGACTAATAACAACAAGCATTGGTTTAACAAAGTAACAATAACTTTAATTTATAAATAAACCACCTTGCTGATTTTCTCGTAAGCTCGTGATTACGTGTTTTTATGTCTAAATTTCAAGTGTGTTATTTAACATAATAAGTGTTTTTAGTATATGCAAACCTGTTTAATATGCCCAAAATCAAGTTTATAACAAAGTAATTTGATCTTTGATAAAAACTTCATTCTGACAGCCGCATCATTCTGACAGCCTTACACCCGTAGTCATTTTAATGTTTAGTCATTTTAAGGTTTAGTCATTTAATTTGGGACAAAAGGAATGTAATCAGTGTAATGATGGAAATCAAGCAACAAAATTCGTGAAATTCTTAACGGGAAACGATATTTGATGATTTCATCACGAAGGGGGTATCTATGAACTTTACTTTCAGCTGTGGTTGTTGGTAGATTTGGAAGATTTCGGAATGAGAACTAGCGGCGATAAAACGTGCGGAGAAGGGAGTCTGACGAATATGATTGAGATAAAAAACTTTCCTGCAGATAATAACTCAACTAATCTTTGTGTGAGCAAGGTCTTTTCTAAGGCTCATGACATTCTAGGTAAAATAAATCTAGCCATTTTTATAAGTTCAAACTCTACAAGTACATATCACATTATTGGATGGAGAAATATTGCGACGTAAACTTACTTGTACACATTGGTAGAAATCAACCGGTAGAAATGTCAGTCAGATTTCGAGCGTTCAACGTGATAAAAATCTGAACGCTCAATTCAACCGACATTTCGGGTGGTACACTTCGACTGATGTGCAGAAATACCTAGTACGCAAGGTGCAATCAGTGCAGTGACCAATAAAGCAGCTTTTAATGAACCTAATCACCTCAGGGGCTGTACACCTCGCATCCACTATTCTTCTTGCTGCAACCTACGCAACAACTAACTGGCATCGGTTCGACCATCCAACATTCAATTGGAGAGCTTTTATCTGGGGTGAGTCATTCACAAAAACCTTTAATCTGGGGTGAGTCATTCACAAAAACCTTTAATCTGGGGTGAGTCATTCACAAAAACCTTTAATCTGGGGTGAGTCATTCACAAAAACCTTTAATCTGGGGTGAGTCATTCACAAAAACCTTTAATCTGGGGTGAGTCATTCACAAAAACCTTTAATCTGGGGTGAGTCATTCACACAAACCTTTAATCTGGGGTGAGTCATTCACAAAAACCTTTAATCTGGGGTGAGTCATTCACAAAAACCTTTAATCTGGGGTGAGTCATTCACAAAAACCTTTAATCTGGGGTGAGTCATTCACAAAAACATTTAATCTGGGGTGAGTCATTCACACAAACCTTTAATCTGGGGTGAGTCATTCACACAAACCTCCCAAATTTTGTTCGACGAAATACCATGATGATTAAGATGTGGTCCTGTTTGTCTAACTCTAAGAAAACTTATTACAATAGTACACAATAAATTTGGTGTTACGCCATAGTCCAAAATCATAACTTCACGTTTTAGGACACGGACAGAGCTCAGAGCAAGCCAACGCCCTCAAGAACACAAAACACAGGATGAAGATCGACATCACTTCCTTCTACAATGTTTGGCTTCTTATAATGATTAGTTGCAGTGCTCTTGGAATCCTGTGAGTAATACGAATAGTTCGAACGAATGGATATATTTTGAGCAGTTTTTGTCGTTGTATTTCATCACAACCTATCGTGGGCGTATTGCATGAGATGATCAAATTAAATACACTAAAAGTAACACGGTTCACACTGTTTTTCAGTTTTCACGGTCAGCTGTACTGTGAACACTTGATGCATATAGTGGCTATGTTTGATCTCCTCAACAGAGTAATACGAGGAGCCACTGCCAACAGAGACCAACTTTTGGTGGGTATTTAATCAAGAGGAGGATATAAGCTAAATTCAGGGTGATCTTCAATTTACTGATTGTGAAATGTGATGTGTAAACAGCATTATTTGCGTTTCTATTATAAATGGTTGATCTGAAGAGGAGAGGAACACGCATACCACAAACACGGACGTTAAAATGTTAATTATGATTTAAACCCAATTAATTAATTAATTATTCCAACCCTCCGTCAGGTGATAATACCGTTTGCAGTGTTTATTATCTACATCTACTCCATGATTTACTTTACATTCGCTCGCTCCATGTTTGATAACGACAAGATGGAGTACTGCAACACGTTGGCTCAATGTTTTAGTACAGCAATCAGATACTCAATGAGAAACAGCAATGGTGGCCATAACTACAGATACTTCCTAATATCATGTTAATAATTATAGGAGGCATGTTTATCTGCGAAGCGTAAATGGCGGCGTAAATTTAGGTGAAATTATTTCAAAGATATCCAAGTTTTGTTTCCTAAATTTAATTTTAAAGGTGGTATTTTTAACAAAAACAAAAAATGAAACTCTAAATTCGAAGATAAACGGTATTTTGAACAAAAATCTTTTAAGAAATATTTAGAAATCATTCCATAATATTGAATGTTAGTCTTAATTCTCGAAAGCAGGATCAAAAAAATATAATCAACCAGGAGTTGTGCGAGAGATTCAAAAATATATTTACCATTATATCGATCAGAGTTATATTGTTATCCGTCCCATGTTAATGGCGAGCTGTTCAATTAGATGTATCAAGTTTTAGTATCGAGCTGGAGACAAAACCCTTCGGATCACCATAAATACGTTCCTCCTCATTTCCTTACTTCTGGTAAATATGATGAGCGGTGTCAGAAGTGCGTTCAGAAGCGGCAGCGTCGTGCTAACCATCAATTCACAGACCAACAAGGCAAAGGGATCATCCGAGATGATGCGAGTTGGCCAGATGTAGTGGAACTGCAGGGCAGCTATTCCTGAATTACAGACCAAGAAAGCTGCTGACAGGATTGAGACTGTGGTGTTCACATGTGACCAATCAGTGACCACAGGGTGGTCAGGGTCACGTGCGCGAGCTCTGAGCCATGTGACTAAAAACTGGGATACCAGGCAACCTAGGACAACGGTTATCGGAACTAGACAGAACAACCCTGCTAGTAAGTTTGGGATCATCAAGAACACGTTCCTAGGTATGTGAACATGAATGAACCCAACTGTTAACAGAAACTTCGACAAGTTATGACCGACAAAAGAAATCGCGACATTCAGCCAAAGTGTAATCCAAGGGAACTTTCCAAGATTCGGTTCAACGTAGATGACATACCAAACATCCACTGTAGACAGCAATACTAGAAACCCGATTATAAAAGCTATCGCTATCTTCAGAGCTCTCACATTAACCTGATGGAAAGGAAAGGATATTTTACCAGTCCTCAAAACAGCGAGTACCACATTGAAAAGGACAGATAAGGCGTATCCGAGCAGTGACAGTACGGTGTGCATCGCCACACACACGGTAGCAGAGATAGGAGGTATTACGTCATATGATAGGAGGACAACACATATCATCAGGATCAGGTGACCCACACACGTGACCAAATCGGCAACTGTTATTAGGAGAAATATTGTGTTTGTGAGGGTCCCGCGATTCCTCCAGTAGTATAGTAGCACTGTGGTACAAACAGCTAAAACTAAGATACAAAGCGGAATGTTGAACGGGACTATAAACCTAAACACCCTTCGGTAGAGCTTCTCGAAATCCTCTTTCTCCGTCTGAGACACATGAAAAGGGTCAAAGAAGACTTGTCTTCCATCTGACTTGAGGAAGGGAAATACAAAACCCGCAATTGAACTATAACCAGAATAACCGCAAAGCTAAAAAGGAAGAGAAATATTATAACCATGAGCGGTATATCCGATATCGTCATCTCAATCCAAAGTTTCATCCTGGGATCATTTCCAATTTCTTCTTTCCGCATTTTGATTATTCCGCAGAAAATCGAAAGATCACACAGAGAGGGTAAAAAATCAATATATTAAGTTAAGTAGATCTCTGGTTAGAAAATGATGGATTGATAACCACAGTTAGTGCAACATTACAAAAAAACTGCTAAAAATGGGGACAGTTTATAAACTGTCCCCATTTTTAGCAGTTTTTTTTGTGCCCGGAATTATGAAAAATTTCTGCGAATGTATAAATACATTCGCAGAAATTTTTCATAATTCCGGGCACAAAAAAATGGTGGTACAAAATTTTCGAAAATCCCCGGATTGCGGATATCGCGTCCTATAATTATGTCACCTATTAGGTAATTAGGTACTAGAGAATACAGAATACTCTTGAATTGTAATATTTGTGTTATATTATATTTAATTAATGCATTTCAAATTTCGGTTTCGCAGATGAGCCCAGCCTTTGTCTAGCTGAAATGTTTCAAAATTGTGAATCCATTATGGGTCATTCACATACTACGTAATCATCCGAGGGGGGTTTCTAAATGATTATGCTAGAGTAATTTTGACACAATAACTATGTGTAAAACCGATTACGGAGGGGGAGGGGGGGGGGTAAAAATTGATTAGGTAATATGTGAATCCATTATTTTTCAATATTTTCAGTTTTTAAATTCAGTACATCCAACAAATATAACGTTTCAGTTGGACTGATAAGAAAGCATTTACTGACATGTGGATCAGAATAGCAATTGATGTTTCTATTCCATCATTGGTTTGAAAGTGGTCACTGCCCTGGTCCTGGACGGGTTTACCTCACAGGAGGTAACATAATAACAGATTCGACTCATCATTTTCAGTTTAAGGATTTCTAATGAGTCTTATTGAAAATATTACCGAATTTTAATTCTCACATCATTATTACTCCAGAAATTGAGAGAAACCTCATTGGAGGACATGAGCGGTGTTTGTTCCATCTGTGGGCTCACAAAAGACGAGGTTTCTGGGAAAGGAATTGACTGGGACACTCACAAACAGGAACATAACTTGTGGTCTTACGTCAACCTGTTTTATTACCCTAAAAATAATAAGAGGTCCTCAAAACTGTCAGCTATTGAAGACGAGGTGAGCCGCGTGGATGTTAGAATATAAATAAGTTCAAAATAACACTTTTTAACGTAGGTTTGCCACCCCCACCCCCTCCCCCCACTCCCACAATACCTCAAACCACCTTAATCAAACTCTAGTTTTCAATCTCAAATTGAGATTGAATTTATAAATGAAAATTTGTTCTGATAGAAATGTTCATCAAGATAACTGTAAACACAATATTGGTTCCTTTACCTAACTACACTACAGGTGCTAGACAAATTTGAGAGAGGCGAAATATCGTTTCTCCCTCGTAAAACATCATTATCATATCCTGGAAGCGTGCCATTAAAGAACGTGAGGATATGCGGAAAAAAGAGAGGATCTTTTAAATTACATGTCGATCATATCGACACCCCAGACACAACCAGATTTTATTTTATTTTGAGCGATGTTTATTATGTAAATTGTAATTAGTTGTATATTCAGAACTTTTTATTTATTTACGAAATAACAAAATCAAATATTTCAATTGTTCAACAAAATATTAATATTACAGATATTTACAAGAGTTTAATCAGATATAAACACGGCCTGCAGCAGGATTTAATTACATGTGATCGACCGACAGATCCATTTGAGTTCGTTACACACAGCCCTGTCCCAATTGTAGTGAGAATTCCGAGATGGAAAGCGATTCTAAAATGCAACGCAATACACCTCAAGAAAACCAAATTATACTCTAAATCAAGACAGGGCTGCTGCCACCAAATGAGTCCTGGTTCGAGTCGATGAAGTGCTTTAGCTAGCCTCTCAGTCGAGAAACATAGCTCCTTCTGGATTACTCTCGCTCAGCTTTCCTTCCTCTTCTCTCTGACGATACAACTGAGGCGGGAACGACACATTAGAATCATAACTGGAAATTTAATTAAACTATAAGAGCTGCAGTAAACCAAAAATGATATACTCATATTTGTGGAAGATGTAAACCCTTAAATCTACCCCCCCCCCCCCCCAAACCCCCACCCACCCTCGCAGCCCCCGACTTCTCCTCATACCTCCTGAGCTTCCTGTCTCTCTTCGTCTGTGAAGATGTCCTTGTCAAGTCTCTCTAGATTCCTGATGTTCATGATAACCTCTATACGATACTCCTCCTCTTTAGCCACAGGAGTGTCCTTTAATATCAGCCCTCGTAACATCGGCAGACACTTTATCTTCTTGATTTCCGGCTTCAGGGCGGATATCTTAGTGCCTCTGCAAGTGGGCAAGTCTGTTATAATAGTATACCTTATCGGACCTTATTTGGACGGACATTACATAAACGGACATAATTATGAACGGACATTAATATGAACGCTCGAAAGCATTCAAAACCATCAAAAATCCGAATTTTTTTGACGTTTTTTAAATTTCAGCAAATGATTTTTAAATCCATTTTTTATACAGTAAGTAAAAAAAGCAGTCATTGAGCAGTAAAAATGTTAAAATATGTGTACATGATCAGTTTTTAATATCACATATCATCTTCATCAAATGGGTTGTCGTGCATGAAATAGTCCATGCTCAAAGCATCAGTGATTTCTAGCTTTATGGAAACCTATTTTATCAAACTACCCCGGTCCTGCATTTCAGTGTTAACTTTTACAAGCCATTCGGCGTGAAGTGGTTTTATCTTAGACAACTTAAGGTTAACCTTAACATCACGTGGAGCTTTCCTAGCACTGTTTCATTACCGCCCCTGAGTAATATGAGCTATAACAACGTCGGACAATGTCCTTGGCAACACGATTTACCGTGATATCTAGAGGCTGGAACAAGTTTGTCATGTTGGCGGGGACTAGTTCAAGAACTATGTTGTTGAGTGCCATAATTTCGTCGACTTTTTTCCGCCAAGTGACCCTTGAAAACGGCTCTTACTAATTCGCTCGCCCAAAAATTTCACGTGACTTTGGTTTTTATGGTTTTGCAGCCGTACAAAACGGTTTTACATAAACCCTTATCCCAACCCTAACCATAACCCCGAAGCTAATCATAACCCTTACCACAACCCTAACCCTAACACGAGCCCTAAACAATCGAATACGTATTTTACTAGCCTTTCACGTGACCAAAACGGTTTTTTGCCCATAACTCTCCCGGGAAGCATTTTAAGGGGAGATACACCAAAAACGTTTTTGCTCCGAACATCGATTTTATTTTATATTATGGTTAAATAGACAAAAAGAATAAGATTGCACACCTTCAAAATTTTCTAAAAATATTCCCTCGTCGAGAAAAAAAATATTTTTCTTTTTCGAAAATTTTTAAAATTTGGAGAAGTCTGTCACTGTAATACCGATAGTTCGGCCATTTTAAAAGTTTTTTAGCTGATTTTTTTACTGAACATTACTTACACTCAGTACAAGACAACCCTCTAAAAGATTATATAATTGAACAATAAATGACCAAGTTACAGACCGAACAAGGTGAAAAAAGAAAAATTGGGATTTTTGCCTACCACCAAAGTTGTACATTTTACCACTCGCCCAGGTCATCAGATATCGCTTCAAAAATTCTTGTGAGTGTAGCTGATGATCATATCAAACTTTTTGGAACAGGATTTCTCTCAGTTTTGAGTTTTAAGGTATGAAATGTGGCCTTAAACGACTTAGTAAAATTCATCGTAAAAAAGGGCCAAACATGGCAGAATTAAGGCTTAAAATGCCTATAACTCAAAAAGTATCAGTTTTTTTGAAATAATTTTTACAGGATCGTAATCAGCTTGGTAAGACGAATCTTTTAGTACCAAATTGATAATAGTTAAAGACACAAAATTTGTAAAGAATGTGTACAATTTGTACAAAATTTATACAAGGGGGGACCCTTGTGTTCGAGCTGGAAAATTATTTAAGACAATTTGTCTTCTAAAATCACCTATTTCGTACTAAAAGATTCGTCTTCTCAAGCTGATTACGATTCTGTAAAAGTTATTTCAAAAAAACTGATACTTTTTGAGTTATAGGCATTTTAAGCCTTAATTCTGCCATGTTTGGCCCTTTTTTACGATGAATTTTACTAAGTCGTTTAAGGCCACATTTCATACCTTAAAACTCAAAACTGAGAGAAATCCTGTTCCAAAAAGTTTGATATGATCATCAGCTACACTCACAAGAATTTTTGAAGCGATATCTGATGACCTGGGCGAGTGGTAAAATGTACAACTTTGGTGGTAGGCAAAAATCCCAATTTTTCTTTTTTCACCTTGTTCGGTCTGTAACTTGGTCATTTATTGTTCAATTATATAACCTTTTAAAGGGTTGTCTTGTACGGAGTGTAAGTAATGTTCAGTAAAAAAATCAGCTAAAAAACTTTTAAAATGGCCGAACTATCGGTATTACAGTGACAGACTTCTCTAAATTTTAAAAATTTTCGAAAAAGAAAAATATTTTTTTTCTCGATAAGGGAATATTTTTAGAAAATTTTGAAGGTGTGAAATCTTATTCTTTTTGTCTATTTAACCATAATATAAAATAAAATCGATGTTCGGAGCAAAAACGTTTCTGGTGTATCTCCCCTTAACCCTATGTCATGGGGGGTGATTCGGAATCAGCGTCCATTCCGATCACTTTCATGCCCAAAGGGCCTTTTCACAAGAATTTTCTTAAAATTTGGGCGAGCGATTTAGTAGGAGCGCTTGAAAACATCATATACTAGTAGAGTTTTCTGTGCCTCCGGCAGACCAAGGAGAACCTTTCCGTCGTTAACTTACGGCACAATAAAGTTCTCAAAGTTGTCATATTCTGGACAAAAAGTTCGAAATGGAAAATTTTAAAAAAAATTTCAACGGACTTTAACTTGGACGGACATTAATTGAACGGACTTTATTTGAACGGACATTAAGATGAACGCTAGGGCCTCCAGCGTTCAAGTAATGTCCGTCCAAATAAGGTCCGATAAGGTAGTCAATAGATATTGTACTTTTTATGAGCATTTCATGCAAAATATGAACTTAAGATTACTCCAATCCCTGGGAAGGTGATGTTTTCTAACCTCAGATTAAGATACTTAAGATGTTTTCTAACCTCAGATTGAGATACTGAAGAGCGACCATGTTCTTGGAGAAGCCATCTAGTGTCTCCAGTTGATTGGTTGTCTCACCATTTCCCCGGAGATGAAGTATCTTCAGAGCAATGCACTTGTCTAAGTCACTTACTTGTGTGATTAGGTTTTCTCCCTGATTTCAGTCACGTCAAGAAAAATAAATAAAATGAAGAAAACTTAGAATACTTGTAATTGATTCCAATAAACCATCTTTTGGGACATAATTGAATTTGGGAAGAGTCTATTAAAGTGACAAGTCCTAACCAAATAAAGTCGCTGAAGTTTGGGCAGTCCTAATCCAGCAGTAGAGGTCAGCTGGTTACCTCTGATTTCTAAAACTGACAGTTTCCTCAGGGCTTCAGCATCAAACTTTGCTTCCGTTATCTGATTGTCTGGAGAGAGTTTCGTAGTAAATGTATCACAAAATGTAGTTTAAATCCCTATCACTTCAAAGACCTTTTGGAGATAGATCATAGATGTCTCCAAAATACACCATTCATCAAAAGTATCAAAATTGATCGATCAGATCAAAAGTCTTTATGCATGTTATTGGATGTCATTTGTAATTGGGTGCCATTTACTCCGTTAAACTAGTTAAGTTGTAAACTGTTCAGAATCAAAGTTTAAAAACTTACTGTTGAGATTCAGAACTTCCAGAAGAGGGTGAGAAATGCCTTCTGTTGTTGTGATATTATTGTTCTGGAAACTTGCCCTTTGAAGGTATGGCATCTGAAAGTATAATTGTCAGACGTGTTCTTAATCGGAGGTTCGATAAATTTGTTGTCATTGAAATTATCGGAGAATTTTGTACAGTTACCATGACAACATATACTGCTTACACTATGCATTTAACAACCGTTACGCGCGTAAAACGAGTAATAGCTCCAGCGCGCTACATCTTGTTGTCTTCGAAGGGGGCACCACAAAATGTAATCGTACAAAAATTACCAGTACAAAATGTAACATTTAATTACAATCTTGATATTATTCGTTTATATGCGAGCAAACCTGAGGCAAAGCAGCGGTGGTAAGTCTGTTATTATCAGCTTTTAGAGTCAGCAAGTGGGTCAGCGAGGACAGTGGAGTGAGGGAGTCCAGTTTGTTGAACGACAAATCCTGGGAATTAAATATTCTAGAATCTATGACAGCATTATAATATTATAGATCAGACAAAAAAGTACGATTTCAACTGAGCTTCTTTTTCGCATAAAGTTTTAATAATATATGTAATCCAAGTTCTCACCAGATATCTGACGTGCACAAATGCACTGATTATTGATATATCCGTCAAGGACCTGAAACAATATAGTTTTAACTTTTTATCTGTTAATTAAGTTAACTACATTTTACAATAATTGTTAAAATTAATTCCAGTAAAACGAGGAAAAGTCGGAGCATCTTATCCCGAAATATCTCACTTTCCATGAAGGTCCATCTTGACGTAAGCATGTGACAAACCATTTCCGATCTTACAAAGAAGAGCTAAGCTATCTCCACACATTTGTTCTGTAAGCTTGCAGTCTACTGGCTCCTGATACAATATACTTATAGATATGGGATATTATCCACTCACTCAATCTTTACTACTTAAACAGATTTACAATAACAGTTCAAGATTAGTTCAATGTGCACATTTTCAGCCATTCATTTGACATACGATACTCGAAAATCGTGCATCATCTAGATGATACTTTGTGCTTGTGATTTAATAAAATTCCCTAATTTAAAGTACTATTTTCGTAAAACCTACCCCTTCTTCCTCTTCTTCTCCTTCTTCAAGATTATTCTCCTCCTCGTCAGACATATTGCTGTTAGGCTAGATAAAGATTAAAGTCAGCTATTAAATTGGAAAGTTAAATTTAAATCATTAAAACTCCAACGGACAACTTAACGATTTTAAATCAAAGCATGTTGTTGGTATATCGCCCTCTACGTCTTGTAGTCAAGTATTCTGCACCATACAAGTAAGAAAAACATACGCTGGGTCTTAAACCACCGCCGTGTTTTATATATGACACTTACTGCTTTGCAGATGATATGCCAAGGATTCTGTCGCGAAAATTTTTTAATTCGAATATTTCAGACCACGCCCATTAAATATTTAATTACCGATATTGTTCTTTCCGAACTTGCTGAACGTTTTTTCAGATTACTGTAGAGTGCTGCATCTGAAAATGAATGGCACAACACACGTATCACGATTGAGGTACTGAAACCTAGATTACCAAAGTAAGCTTTGATAAACGGAAATTCATCACAATAGGAGAAAAGATTTTTGAAGATTTTTAATCTAGAAGCTTTTTTGTCGTCTTCTTGACCGAAATTTCACATCTTTTGACCAGTGACCAATCAGTGAGGTCGGTGAGAGTAACACAAGTTGCCATCAAGGTAGTGCAAGCTGTACATCCGGAGAAAACTTTGATGGAATGTTCTATCAGTAGGAAATTTTCACATTTCAACTTTCCACGGCCCAAATTTCACTGTTTTGACTGAATCATTGACCATTGTATTTATCAAAGTCAATGAGGATGACACAAGAAACGATTGAGGTACTGAAAGTTGGATTCGCAAAGAAACCTCTGATAAACGGAAATTCATCACAATAGAAGAAGAGCGTTTGGAAGATTTTGAATCTAGAAGCTTTTTTGTCATCTTCTTTTCTTCTTGACCCCCCTGTTGGCGCCCCCTCCCCTTTTGGCACCCCTCCCTAAAATTGAACAAATTAGGTGATATTAGAGGATAGGCAAGTGAAATTTCTAAAAAAGTGTGTTTCTAGAGCAGTGGCGTCACGAAGTTTTATATAATTTATAAAGTGTATGTTATTGCCCACTTAAAGAGACCTGTTAATAATTAGTTAAATTATCAGCTATTTTAGATTTAATAAAAATGTGTTCTGATGAATGAAATAGCACTGGTGTTGGAATGTTTGCCCCGGTGCCTGCCCGGGTCAATAAAGCAATTAAGCATCATATATGTTATGTTGAGCATTCTCAACCAACAAATGTGGCAACTCCCACAATTCAAAAAAAATTTTAAAAGAGGGGGGACCACCAACCCATGTAGCTGAAACACCTCACAGCAAGTAGACCAAAGTGGCTCTTGCTTGTGAGTGGGTTGGGAGTCCCCCCTGGGATCATTAGCTCGTCTTCTGAGGTATGAGATTGAAGGATACGTCATCCAGTCCAAGGCAGGGACAAAAGGATTTCGCGATTATTTTGGCCAAATTTCGCGATACCGCGAAATTTAACAGGCTATACATTAAACTATACATAAAATTTGTCGCGGAGAATGGGAAATTTCGCGATTTCGTACATGCCGCGAAATCCTTTTGTCCCTGGTCCAAGGTGCTGGGCTTTTTGTCTTCCTCTGATTCCCCTGAGTGCTATGAGTGTGCTTCGTAACAGATCAAACCTGAATCGTGTTCTGATGTGATTTTTGACCTGGCTCTTAGCTTCTTTATTGTGGTCAGCTATCCTTTCAGAGATACGATCTACAAACACAGTGCAGAGTGGACCCATACCTCCAGATGTTGTAAAGACTAGTGGGACAAAGGACCCTTTCTCTGACTGAATTACTCTCTCTTCATAGAGATCTTTCTTATCTTTCTCATGCAAACTTTAGATTTTATTTTTAAGGCACTCCTTGGATCTTCCAACCATATCGTAGGCGTATGCTGTCTTGGAACTCTTGCTTGTTTAGAACATAGTTGAGGTCCTTTAGAGGTAATGCTGAAAGCCATGTTGATGCTCCTTTCTCTCTTACTTGGTTTAAGTGGTTCTTAAGAAGATGATCTGACCCATTATAAAGCATCTTGAACCTTTGTGATAGAAACTCATCTTTCTGTTTCCTCAGTTCTTCTTTGTTTTCTTTCATTTTGCCCATATCCAGCTTGGTGATATCCTGGTCTTGTTGGTTGATTAAACTCACAAGATCTTCAGTGAGTGCCACTGAGATTGCATATTCACGGGATGCTATCCTGATGGGATTGATGATACCTAGGCCTCCACATCGAACAGGCAGTTTAATGATATCTCTCTCATGCTGGTTGACAGGGCGACTGAGGAGGGCTGGAATGAGCACATGCATGATCTTGCTCTCTAGTGGGACAAAGTGCTCTCCAATGTCTGGTATAGTACGCATGTAGTATCTCCATTGCATCTGTGGCATATTCCTTTAGTAAAGGCCGAATAAGCCAGTTGTGGTTCTTCCGTCGCTACATATGCTAGTTGATCAATATCAACTATCCATTTTTCAACTTTTTCTTTGATGTACTCTTCCCTGAATTCTTTTAAGCCTACAACAGCACCAAGATGGCGTTATCCGGATGTCGTGATCTTAACTCCCAGGTGTTTAAATAGGGTCTCTGCTTCAATCTGTACTTCTACCATTGTATTAATGGCATCTTCAAGGTCTTGAAATATAGAACCCCTATATCACCGCTACTAAAATGTTTAATGAGCTCAATCACTCATCACTTAACAGTTTAATCTTCAAAGTGAGTTGTACAATCTAGGTTGTTTTAAGTAGCTGTTGATAGTGTAAAACAGGAGTGACTTGATCGTTTTCATAACTTCGATTTACAATTTGTACCATAATAAAACTAGCACTGCCATGGGGTTCAAAAAGGGTCATTGTAAGTCTCCAGAGCTCCAGCGTAATGGTCCTAAGTCTCTGCCCCATGTGGTGCCTGTCAGCATCAGCTAACTGAATAGCCCTAACATAACGATCAAGCCACAAATTAGGTTCTATAATGATTTAATATTGTTGAATAAAGAGATTTGAATATAATATTTGTTTTATTCTGAATATTTGTTTTATTCTGAATCACTATACTCCCTCTTTGAAACATCTGGCAAACTTGGCAAAGAGACACTCATTCTCACACCTTATCCATCAGACAGCTACATATACAGAGCAGGGACAATATGGAATACAGTACGACAAAACCTCATGCTAACTACATTCACCTGTTATAAGCCCAATCACCTCAAATCATCCATAAGAATCACCATCACTCACACTCAAAAGGAAGGAGAACCAAATGACTGGAACTTAGCCTTAAACAGTGTTCGACAAAATTCAAAAACTTTAATTGACCTTGCCTAGATTACTTAAGCTTGAAAAAGCGGTAATATCTTAGCAAAATATAACTTGCAGCAGCCCCATACCTTGTCATGAACATAATATCGAAACTACCTCTGTGATCACATCTTTCTCTGGGTGCAAGATGAACATTATATATTATATACCGTATATAGGTTTATTAGTTTTATAAACAAATAAATAAATTCTAACATTTATTACACGCTTCGACATTAAAATATACCCAACAAAGATGTACATTTCAGTCATTCAAGCGAGACTTAGTGTTGAAATACCAAGATTATGGACTTTTTATCAGTTCAGATTTTATGAACAAATATTTGTATGAAGTTCCCAAAATTAAGCACTTTCATATCAGTTCAGACTTTATGGACAAATATTAGAAATATTATCAAAAGCTAGGTGGAAATAAAATGTCTTTAGTGCATTTTTAAAACATTCTACAGATGATAATGATCTCACTGAGTAGGGTAGTTCATTCCAAATTTTTGGTCCACAAAACATAAATGCAGCATCCGTTCGTCTGAAATGAGGAGCAGGAGGAACTTTCAACAAATAAAAGTCATCATCTAGTCTGGAACTTTGTCTTCGTACTTCCCTTTGTAGACATTTTAAAGTTCTAGAGAAATTTATTATATAAGGATTATAAACATTTTGTTTGTGAGTTTTATGTTATGCATTTTTATACCTATTTTAGAAGAGATTTTTATAGAATGTTAGAAGTGCAGTAGGGTCAGTTTCAGACGAATTAAGCATAAATGACATCATTGCCATGTCTGAAGTGGTTTGTAAATGGGCCATTGTTAGCCCCAAGCGTTTTGGTCCGTCATTCCTGCCACTCAGAATTGCCTACTGCAAAGTAGACATTTTTCTGAGACAATAGAGAAACCGAACATTTTACAGCCTACTATTAAGAGCCCAGATTTTCACTCAAATACTGGCCAATGCATAATGCTATAGGCCTAGGACCTCAAAATAAGTATTATAAAACATTTCTATTTTATCCCTACACATTTGTAAATAACTAGAATTGTGTAACCTTAAATTTGTTCAGAATTATAACTATTGTGAATTCAATAAAATAATTATCACTTTTGTATCCTTGTATCCTTGTATCCTTGTATCCTTGTCTCACTAAATTCAACCACTTTCCATAATAAAATACTAACAAATAAAGTTTGTAAAATAATTATATTCAACCACTAAAGAATATTTCCTCAAGTTTACTTCTAGTTAACTAATTCGTGGTTTAAGCTCTGATTATTTTATTTATGAAAGGAATGTAAAATAAAACTTATTGTTTCATAGAAAACTTATTGTTTCATTGAATTAGGTCTTCTGGATTCTTGACAATTAGAATTTGGTCTTTTTAGCGGGTGTTACCCATATCTTGGGCCTATTTCACAGAGTCTATTCCACCAATGAAGCAGTTGGATGAATCTTCCACATGCAGAGCTGTCGCCAGCATACCACACCATAGTTGATTCTGCTTCTTTGCTTGATAGGTATTTTTAAGGAACTGGTGAAACACAGGGCAGGTTGTTGCAAAAGTATCAAGAGCCAGCTCTCGGTGTAAACTGTTGAACGCATTTGATGCATCAACTAGGAGAAGGCCTTGGCTATTTTTGTTGGCAAAATTCTAGGCCATTGAATGAACTACAGCTTCTATACCTGACTCAATGCCACTGCAGGTTTGTAGGGAGCCACTTGCCTCCTTAATGT